ATCTTAATCTGATTTGTCCACAGAAATGCAGCCTCATTTCTTCAAGAATATTGTTTTAACTGGTGGGAATTCTCTATTCCCTGGCTTTAGAGATCGTGTTTATTCTGAGGTTCGATGCCTCACTCCAACAGATTATGAAGTTTCAGTTTTTCTACCAGAGAAGTAAGTAGTCTTCAATTTACAAATAGAGTTTCTTAATTTTAAAATATGATTTTTTTCAATTTTTATATTAAAATTTCTAATATTAATTTAGGAATGAATGTATCCTGGTTCTTTCTGGCAGTGTTGGCTATATACATGTGTACTCACCATTTTATTCCTTTAGGTATAAACGGTGTTATGCCACGTATAAAAAAGAAGTAGAAGTAGGGAGTAAAACATTAACATAGAATGCAGTATAATAAAAAAGGAAAGAAAGACTAAAATTATTCCTTATGTTTCTATATATCTTCCTGTCCTTACAAATCATTCTTGCTTCCACAATATCCATATAGTATTTTACATATTGCCTTTTCTTCCTAAAATTTCTCACCTCTTTTTCAGTCTCTCATCTGTTTGTCTACCCGTGGTTTTCCCAGTCTTCCCTTTTTGCTTAACTTATTTATTTAGTAGTCTTCTTATTTTTTTTTAATCTGTCTGTCTGTCTATCAAATTTATTTGCTGTCTGTCTCACAGTTAAAGGCAACGCTGAGCAGCTGACAAGATAAACACACAAACATCTGACAATTGTAAATAAAATAACAACATTACAAAAACTAAAACAAGCTAAAAAAGCAAGGCTTTGGAGGGAAGAGGTAGGGGTGCCTTCTCTATTAATGCACCAACCACTCCACCAACAGCTTCTCCTCATGACCCCATGTCAGTTGGCATAGCCAGATTTTAAAGCTTTTACTAAAAACTAAAAGAGAGAAGACTGTTCTTACATCCTGTGGCAAGAGGTTCCTATTTTTTGTATTGTGATTATGTTTTCATTAATGTTTCGTATATAAATCAAGGACCCCCAACCGACTTCTTTCATATTGATGACTCACTTTGTATTCATTTATACTTGACACTTTCTCTTTGAAGGCAAAGGTATTAAACTGTAGTGTCAAATGTTTTAATAGAGAAATAGAATCAAAATTGGAAGGGACCATTCAAGTTATTGAATTTAGAACATACTTAATGTAGCAATCCAGTTTCATTTATCTGAGACTGGTTTTTTTAAAATAAACCATTCCCATGCCATTGAAAGTTTATGCTTTTCCTGGTATACCCAGCTCTCACTTCTATATGTATAGGAAATCAGAAAAAGCACACATACATCCATTTTTGTTTCTTCCAATGAAGATTCATCCCTCACAACAAACCTTATATTGTTCATGACATTTCTAAGCAAATATATAACTTAAAACTTCTCCATCCATTTAATAAATATTCTATCAAGGTACACAATTTCATATGCTTGCTCTGGTTTTCTGGTTTTATCTGCTCATATGGGTAGTTATAACTTGTAATCATTCAGTTCATTTCCACTGTGGAATACAGCTAAATTAATCATAACTGATTTGGTCTTCAGTACATTCATTGTACATGCATTATTCAAGTAATGTTTCCTAGTATGGCTAATGTAAATTAATATTAATTCATAATTTTATATAGCTTGATTTTTAAAAGGCTGTTTTTATTTATTTTCAGTTCTATTACTTATTCCTGGGAAGGTGGAAAGTTGATTTCTGAAAATGATGATTTCGAAGATATGGTAGTAACAAGAGAAGACTATGAAGAAAACGGGCATAGCATATGTGAAGAAAAATTTGATATTTAAATAGATTATTTCCATATAAGTGTTGTATAGATTGTCCATTGTAGTGGCAAGATGTCTTAAGCTGGTGCTGTTTCCTAGAATAACCAATATTGATGAACTGATTATATATGTGTGTGTACTTATTTGTGTACATAAGTATAATGTATACTTACGTATATATGTGTTAAGTGTATATATTGGTTATTACTGATCACTGAATTTATGGTAAATATAGGAATTCTAATGAAAATAACTACAAATAATTCCTTAAAGGAAGTAAGTTAATATATCAGAATATTTTGTGGCAGAGATGACTTACAAATTTTTAAATGTACAGTACATATGAAACATTTAGATTTTAGCAAGATAATTATAATTCAAATGTAAGAAAGCTAGTTCATCTTTTTAAAAATATTTAATCTTGATCAATTTAATAAATGGGCAATTTTATCCAGAAGTCCTTTTTATTAGATCTGGTGGAAGAGAAGGGCAGCAGCTACTAAGCTGAAGACAAAAGTAACATACTGCTGTGTCAGATCTCTTAATAGAGAAATATTCCAAGGAATCAAAATTGTAAGGGGCCATTTAAGTTTTTGAACTTAGAGCCATGCTTAATATAGGGATTCATTTTCAATTCTCTCACACTGTCTAGCCTTCATATTAACAAAAGGCAAAGATTGGACAGCCAAACTTTGTGTGTGAGATCATAAGATGACTCCTGTCCTGGGTACAGGTTGGATTATAAAACATCCAAGGTAACTCTCAACTTTTCAGACCCCGCTATGATTTTACTTCTGAGGAAGGTTTTCCTAACATTCAGTTGAAATCTGTCTTTTTGTAACTTAAATCCATACGCTCTTCTATGGAGTTTAATAGAAAAGTGCTATAACATACAGGGTATAAATACCTAGCTCCATGAATGTCTCCTTATAGAATTTAATTTGTAGTCTTCATTGCTGTTCTATAAATTTGTGGTAATTTCTCCAAATCCTTTACAAAGTGAGTTCAAATCTGAATATAGAAAAACAGTTGTGATAGGGACTGACAAAATTTTCAATGCCTGATGCATTTCAAATTGGACATTTGTTCCCACAATATTCAATGATGTACTCTACCAAGTATTCTGTTTTTCATACATAAGTTTAACTTATAATAGGAATAAATATGTATAATCTGACTCCTTTCTATGGTTGTGGATGCATGTAGCTGGAGTCAGGACATAATTTTTTCTCTTAGGAAGGGTGAAATGTCACTAGCCTCAAAAGATGGTAATGTGCTGTCTTTTGAAGAGGCTGTATTCAATGACTTCTTTTCTCCAAAGTTACCTTTTGGATCAAGCTTCTACAGATGATAGGGAATTAATTAGATCTAAAATGAAATGGATCATGTGATCCCTTCCAATTCAGGCAGGCACATGAGAAACAGGAACAATTTATCTAGAGCATTACCTTCTTCAGAATCTGCTTACTGATTAGAGCACTTGACAGCATTCAGTAATTCAGCTATGGTTGAAAAAGCACCTGTGATGACCCATAGTCTCTGAAAATAACCCAAAACCCAAAACATATATTAAAGTCCGGTAAAGCCTTCAACTTAACTTCACTGTTTTATTAGGCACAGTTTAAAGTCAGAAAAGTAAATAATGAGGCAAACAGAAAACCAAAACAAACCGCATTGATGAGAGTTCTGATGCAAGCCGAGATAACTATAAACTCCAGGAAAATAACCGAGAAAAGTCCATGGGAAGAACCAGCCAAGATAAGCCTCTTTCAAGGTGAACACTAATTGACTTCAGCAATTCTAACTGCGCAGTTGCAAACGTATATACATAGCTCCCACCTGCAAGCCATGAGGATCATGGTAATCTCTTCAGTAGACCTCGCTTTTCCCTGATCCTCTCCTCCCTGAGTGACCTAGGATGGAGAGGGGATGGGCCTGGATCCTCCTCTGACTGCTCAGCCGGCCTCTGCCCTTCCCCAGCCTTCTCCACCACCTCTGGAGCCACACTCCCACTTCCTGTTGGCTGTTCCTCCTCTTCCTCAGAGTCAGACTCCACCAGGGGCATGATAGCACCTTTGGGTCTATGGTACCCTTGTCAATGTCACCACTAGGACAAAGGGGGAATCTTTGTTACAGTACATGCTAAAATAAGCAGTCTTCTCAGAAATACTAAAACAAAAGACTTGAGAAGCAACCATCAAGTTTTTAAAATGCAAAGATATTTATGCATCTTGGATTTTACATCCATGATCTATAAAACCTGAACCTTCTCATAACTCTCATATAACATAGTACCTCAATACTATGTAGTACCTGCTGATCTTCAGAATCTGAGACTATATAAATGAGCTTGTATCAGCAATTTCTGTGGCAGTGTCCAATACAAGTAATGATAACCGTAAAGTATGTGTTTATGTGATTTCATCATGATGTATACAGTATGTAAACATAATTTGTGTGATGAGGTAATTAAGCATATATAATTTGCTCTTCCCATTCCTTTGGATATCCAGTTCATACACCGCTGTTTATTAAATAAAGTACAGGTAGTCCTCAACTTACAATTGAGCCAAAATTTATGTTGCTAAGCAAGAGAGTTAAGTGAGTTTCACCCCATTTTATGAACTTTCTTGCAACAGTTAAGTGAATCACTGCAGTTGTTAAGTTAGTAACCCAGTTGTTAAATGAATCTGGCTTCCCCATGGATTTTTCTTGTCACAAGGTTGCAAAAGGTGATCATGACCTTGGGACACTGCAAGGGTCACTAAATATGAACCAGTTGCCAAACATCTGAATTTCGATCATGTGAACATGATGCTGCAATGGTCATAAGTGTGAAAATGATCATAACTCCATTTTTTTCACTGCCATTGTAACTTTGAACGGTCACTAAACTGTTCTAAATCGAGGATGCATTGTACTAACTAAGCCACCACACAGTAAGCTAAAACTACGCCCTATATTGCAACGGGTGAAGTCAGCCTTGATGAGAGCCTAAAACCAGCGTCTTCGTCTGAAACTTTCAGCTGAAGCGCTCCTGAGGAACGTTCGCCTGGGGGGAATGGAACGCGTCCATAACAGCCCCGAGTACCGGCCCGGCCGCCTCACTCCAAAGACGACCACCTGGAACAGACAATCAAGTTCTCCTGACACCGAAACTACCGTTGGCGGCGCAAGCAGTGGGCGGAGCTTCCTCCGGCACAACTTCCGGCCCTGAGCCCATCTCCTGTTTCTCTCGCAGTGACAACAAGAGAGGCAGGCGGCGGCGGAAGCCGAGGGGAAGGAGTATCCCGGTCAGGTTTGGGCGGCTCAGGTGGTCGCCATGGCGTAGCCGAGCCTGGTCTGCACTTGGTCAACCACGCCCCACAGTGGGGCGGGATCGTTTCTTCAGAGAGAGGTGAGCCGGGTTGAGGGGGGCTTTCGGTTCTCCGGTGCCGGCGAGCGGCCTTAAAATCTTGGAAAGGCCCCGTTTTTCTCCCTCCGAATCGCAAGGAGGGCCTGAATGGTGTAATCTGGGCAGGCAGTGACAGGGAGAGTTGGGTGACGTTATTCCTCTCGATCGTGGTTTTTGCTAAGGTGCTTTTCTCGATCGGTGGGGAGCGACGGGGCGAAAAAAAGACTAATAGAAGCAAGCTTAACTAACAGGCTCTTCCGGTTAAGAGGAAGGGCTGCTTCAACCTGCTTACATTGTGAAAATCTCGTATCTGTTCTAGGCGTTTATTCATCCGAAAGAATAGGCTGTTATTTGTACATCTAGTCTGACATCTCAAAAAATACCAACGTTTTTTTAAAAAAAAAGAATAGAAGCACTTTTGCTCTTAGGTGATCTGATAGTTGATTAATCTGTTTTTAAAATGGACAATATAAATAATATTACAGCATATTTAAAAGTCTGTAGGTATATTGAAATACCAAACGGTGCATAAAAGTAATATGGGCTGAGTATATATCATCTGTTTTAGTTGTTCACTTATTGTACCATCTGACAAAATGTGCTTGGAAAGTCTAAGCCAAAATACTTAATGTGATTGTCCTGTTTTGAAAAGTACTGCTTCACAGAAAATTTAATTATTTACTTTTTTATGTATCATAGGTCTTATGAACCTTTTTCTGATAATTCACTAAAAGTAATTTATTGTGAGATATGGAAGCAGTTAAATAGAAATTACTGCCTTTAACACATACCTGAAACGCTACTGATGTTCCAGTCAAAAGTATATTTAATAAACTTCACATTGAAAATATTGGAATTGAAATCCTTATTTCCAGGCTTAAAAAGCAGAGCAATTATCCCCAAATTTGCTTTTGTTATGATGAACTGAAGTCACATGCATTTATGTAATTAAGGATAATTAAACACCTTACTGGATATTTATATTTGGTTGGTTCTATTTTAAATTTAAAAGATAAATTCAAACTATTTTCACAGATATGTCATTTCCCTAAGTCACACATAAAGCAATTTTTGGGTAGCCTGTTTGGAAAGAAAAAATTCAGTGTGGCATCTCTATAGAGTTGCAGGCATGCTTCTTACAGCAGGTTCTTAAACTTAATTTCTGGCGTTTACAACTGTACTAATTTTTATATCCATAATATTTTCTATATCCTTAAATGACTTGAAAATATTTTTTTCATAACTATTTGGAGTAATAATCATGGAATAATATCCATATATGATATGTATAAATGATATCTCTTATAATTTGTATGCTATTACTCAAGCATGCATGCATCAGAAAACAAATCCTTATTTTCCTATACTCTTAGCAGTTCCTGGGCACCTTTCATTTTAAAAGGCCCTACAGAAATGAACTCTTTTTCACTCTTTCCTAAATGTCAAAAGGGGAAAGAGGCATTCTGATCTCAGGAAGCAGATTACTGTATTCCACAATTTTCCTCCATTTTAAACATTCTTCTAAGGGGTCTAGTAAATATATTTTCTGATGAAATAATTTCATTTTAAATCATATTTTTTATTCTTAACAACTAGAATCACTGATTCTCCAGAAGTTGGATATACTATTCCAATTTTTCATTCCACAGTTCAAATATAAACTAATATTAACTTTAATCCAACATATTATGACTGTCAAGCCTGAAGCCATGTGAAAAGAAATCCTGATAGAAAAACAACAACAGAAAACAGCCACAGACATATTTTGAAAACTATATAAATTTGGCACAAATTTTAAAGCCCAGTCTATAAATATATACAGCAAATTAGGCTTGTTCAGCACAAACTGTATTGCCATGTGATTTGAATAAGCTTTAGAAATAACATTGCATAATTATCAAGAAAAGTCGTTTTCTCCAGAGTGGTGTCGATAGGATCCAGACAGCATGGGTTGACTCTGGTCTGCTAGCTCTTTAGACTGAGTTGTTTAAACTGTGGACACCCCTCCTGCTCTCCAGTGGTCCCCAGTTTACAACTCAATCTGGAGCTCTGCAGACGTGTTTGTCAGCACTCTTGAGTTCTTCAGAATTGCAGTTGGAAAGTGTTGGTTGGTTTTTTCGCAGAATTCAAAGGCTACCATCTCTGTTCAGTGACCAGAGTCTTCGGCTCGCATTGCTGGGCTTGAAGGATCTCCTCGCTGCGATTTTGGAATTTTTCCTACAGAGCGTGAGCATTGGTGTGCCTGCTAACTTCCCTAAGAGGGAGCGCAACTTGCGATGGAATAGCGCAATTTAGAGGCACTTGGGGCTGTCTGCCCTTCAGGGAGGTAGCCCCAGATCAGCGGGCAGACCTGGAGATCGGCCTGCTGAAGATCCACTAGAAAGCACTCTTCCCGCCATCATTTTGATCAAGGATCTGGCGGGAGCGCCATTTTTTAAGCATCAGCGCATGAAGACCACGGAGTGCCTGCTTGGCTATTGATCTGAAAGGAGGCACAACTTGGGAGAGGCGCAGTCGGCGCATTTTTGGACTTTGAAGGCTCTCTGGGCTGCCGGCCCCTTAGGGAGAGCAGTCCCAGAGCTGTTTGTACCCATGAGGCTCCGTTCTTTGAGACTCAGCTGGAAAGCGGTTTGCAAAGGAACACAAACCGCAAAGATTTGAAAAGTTTCCCCTTTGTTCTTTACAAGTCGGATTGACAGACAGCGCAAAGACTTGGAAGTCCTAGTAAGCTCACAGGCTGCCTGCCCTGGAAGGAGCACAGTTCCAGGGGGCTGAGTCCGGTCCCGCTCCTTGATCATAGAGACTTGCTCCAGGGCAGAAATCCCTAGGGCTACCCTATATTGCCCACATTACAGACAACATAGTATTGTTAGGGTTATGGTTATTGTTAATATAATACAATGTAATATAATATACTTCTTAGCAATATTATATATAATAAACAATATATAATATTATCATATTGTTAGTATTGCCAGTTAATAGGAGGCAAGTTAAGTTATAATATAAAAAAAATTCAAATAAAATTAATTACATGGGTGAGTTACAAGATGGCAGATACCATTGGCAGTCTGACCGTATCTCAGCCTAGTGTTAAGGCTAGGGCTAGTTTTAAAGGATCCAGATGGGCTTCTACAAGCCAAGGAGGCAGCAGCCAAGCTTAAGGCTAAGGCTATCTCATCTATGAGAGTTTCCAAGGCTGAGGAAAAGGCAGAGCGTAGACTTCAGAAGGCCTTGGAGAAACAGATTGCCAGAAAGGTTGAAGAAGAGGAAAAAATCACTCAGCTGAGTCCCTTAAGTATGGTTCACGAGGATACTAGCTCCCTCTGAGGTAGCCTCTAGATCTTTCCAACTGGTGGCCCGGAGTGGTGGTACTGCGACCCAAGGTTGGCCACCTGGTGGCTCTCAAGAACTTGGTAGTGCTCAGGGAGCCTTTTTGGCTCCCAGGATAGACAGTCTTCCTTTCAGGCGCCTTGTCACCAGGGTGTTGCTGGACCAAGAATGGGGCCTCCTCCTAAGGCTACTTTCACTTCCACTTCGGCAGGGCTCCACCAGGGGAGGGAGTATGATACCAATATGACACCAGAGATACAAAGATGGATTTCAGAGGCAGTCCAACAGGGCTATGTGACTGGCTTTAAGCAGTCCTGCCAACCTGCACCAGTATTGTCAGTATTGGCTCACTGCCAAGTTATTCCTGACAAAGCTCAAGTTGAATATTCTGAGTTCGAGGATCCCCCCTCGCAGGTCTCATCTGAACATGATCACTTAGAGAGCTCGGTAGAGGAGGGTGAGATTGAACAGGATCTATCCGAGGACGATGGCAGAGCCACTGACAAGCCTGTTTTTAAAGGGCTTTTTTGGACTCACTTGTTCAAATCCTTACTTTTCAAGGCCAAGAGTGCTACTCAGCTTGATTTGGAACTTGCTGTTCCAGACATTCCTCTGGGTGTATCTGAGCCCAGTGATCTTTTATTTGCTGAACCGACGGAGGAGACAGCCATGATTCTGTCGCCAAAGCTCTTTTTCAACATGGTCCAGTGACAACTGGACTCGCCGGCTGCTTACTCAAATGCCACTTCATTTGATAAAAGATATTTTAATGTGGCCACGCCTCTTGCAGATACTCTTCAGCTCCTGGAAGTGGATGAACTGGTTTTGCCATTAGCATTGTCAGCGGCAATGTTTAATGATGCTAATGACTTCCTCAAAGCAGATGATTAAAAAGTCTGAACTGACACTGCGCAGGGCACACCAGGAGGTGGGATGGGCTGTAAAGACCACTATTGCAGCATCTTTTTTCACCAGAGCATCGCTGATTTGGCTTCACCAAATGCAAGAGCAGGTACCTGCCAGTGACATCAGAACTCACCAGAATTTCAACAGGGTGATTGCTGAGGCAGAGTACACAGCCGATGCCACACTTAATTTGGTGAAGTTTGCTTCTCAGGCTATTGCATCAGCAGTGACAGTGCGCCGTCTCCTGTGGCTCAAACATTGGCAGGCTGACACCAAGCGCAGATGGAAGCTGGTCTCCACTCCATATAAGGGTGGCAAGTTATTCGGGGATGCCTTAGAACCAGTGCTTGTGGAACCCAGAGATGGGTGAAGGATTTTACATTGCATTTCACGAAGGGGCAATAATAGATTCTTGCAATCCTTTCTTCGGTCCTTTCGTGCCCCCTACTACAGACCGAGTTTTCAACGGACTCAGGGTTCCTTCGGTCAAAGGCAGGAATTCCAGTAACCCAGGGCTCCCGAGACAAAAACAAGCCCCAGACTCAAAATAAGCTGGCCTTTCAAGGGGCAGGTCATTTCTCTGATCCAGGTGACTACTGAAGCTCCCATTGGCGGCAGGCTACAACTTTTTGCAGACCAATGGGAGCAGACCACTACAGACGCATGGGTGTAAAGCACGACAAGATACGGCCTCTCCCTAGAATTCCGATCCCCCCTCCCCCGAGGTTCTTTATCCATTGCCCTGGATCAAGGGGGCTCAGGGGGTTGGAGAGCCATTTTCAATCTCAGAGGTCTGAATCTCTATATGGTCTACCGCAGATTCAAAATGGACACTCTGCAATCCATTCTAGAGAGTGTCAGGGAGGGGGATTATTTAACATCCATCGACCTCATGGAGGTGTACCTGCATGTCCCCATTTGGCCAGACCATCGTCAGTTCCTGAGGTTCTCCTATGAGGGCAGGCATCTGCAATACCGAGTCCTGCCGTTTGCACCCAGAACCTTTACCAAGATCCTAGCTACAATGACTGCCCATCTCAGAACCATACTGGTCTGGATACAATGCTAGCTGGACGACATCCTGATACATTCGTCATCCTTCAGTCGAGCCAGGGAGGATCTGTGAATCACCGTGCAGGCACTGAAAACCCACGGCTTTTCAATCAGTTTCAGCAAGAGCCACCTAACACCTTCAACTCGTATACTGGGAGCTGTCATAGACTCCTCAGAGGGCATGGTATACGTCTCACCAGACCAGCTGAAGGACATCAAGGCCTTGGCAGCACAAATCCAAAAGGACAGAGTTGCACCCCTGTCATTGCTTTCTCAACTCCTGGGGAAGTTGATCTCTTGCATCGCAATTGTCCCCTGGCATGTTTGCATGCAAGAGCCTTGCAATGGTTCCTGCTCCCATATCAGAGAGCAGGACAGAGCAATTCTCTGAGAGAGTTCATGTCCCCCCGAAGGTCTTAAGATCTCTTCTGTGGTGGATGTCCTTGGCGGTCTCCAGGGGGTGTTTATTCAGGGAGGAGGATTGGCTGATGATAACAATGGACGCCTGCCTCCTGGGCTGAAGGGCACATTGCCAAGGCCAAGTAGCTCAGGGCAGGTGGTCAGAGACAGAATTAGAATACAACATAAACTGGCTAGAGCTACGAGCAATGTACCTGGCCCTCCAACAATTCAAGAGCCAGATTACAGCACAGCACGTGCTCTTTCTGATGGACAATGTGGCCACAAAAGCCCACATCAACCGCCAGGGGGGTACTCACTCCCAACCACTTATGAGGAAGGCAGAGTAGCTGTGTTGTTGGGTGGAAAGGAACCTAGCTTCCGTCAAGGCAGAGCACATTTCAGAAGCAAAGAATATGCAAGCAGACTGGCTGAGCAGGTCCACGGGGACCATTCCGAGTGGCGCCTGCACCCAGCTCTGTTCAGGGAGATGACGGATTGATTCGGCATGCCAATAGTAGACCTCTTTGCATCTCCTGCGAACATCCAAATGCTGAGGTTCTTTTCCAGGTTCCCATCACCAGGGTTGGAGAGGGTCAACGTGTTCCAGTGCTGGTGGCCTCGGGGCTTCCTTTATGCCTTCCTACCCTTGCTACTCATCCCGGGTGTGATCAGGAAGATGATCATCGAGAAGGCAGAGGTGCTGCTCCTGGTGTCCCACTGGCCCAGATGTCCATGGTTTGCAGACTTGGTCAGCCTGTCAATCACCAGGCTATGGAGGATTCCCCCTGAAAGGATCTCTCTCAGCCAGGGGCCCATAGACCTTTCGGAGCTTCAGTGCCTCCAATTGGCTGTCTGGCACTTGAGAGGAGAATTCTGACGGGGGATAACTTCTCCTCCCGGGTAATTAACACCATTCAGGCAGCCAGGAGACCATCAACAACTAGAGTTTATGACGCGACCTGGTGGGCATTCTGCCTGGGGTGGGGCAGAGGGAACTTGACCCCATTTCAGTTACAGTGGCCCAACTACTAGACTTTCTGCAGGCGGGGCTAATAAGGGCCTAGCCCTCGCAACGATTCACAGGCAGGTGGCAGCCCTTTCTACGGTCTTGACATTCGGAAACGTAGAGTCCCTGCTCCCCGTGGTCTGTAGGTTCCTCAGAGGTGCTACTAATTTGAAACCACCTGTGGTACATAGGTTTCCCACATGGGATCTATCCATACAATAATATGATTTAATGTTT